ATAGCACCTCTCCCTCACACATAGATAAAAGTAATTCAAATTTCTATGCTGAAAATGTATTTTTTTTATTAAGTTAATTAGTAATCCCTACTGTCTAAAATGGTATTTAAAAATGTTTATAAAGTGTATAATCATCCACAAGATGAACTGAAGATGTCATACAAAAAATGTTTAACAATGCAATAGCATCCAGGTGTGGAGGAAACACACCGTATTCTCAGCATTTGACGGGCAGAGGCAGGAGGCTCCATCACAACTAAGAGGCCAGTCTGAGCTATTGATTGAAATTCTGTCTCAAATATTATGTGGTAACAGATATTAGACTTCATGCCCACTCTTAGAGCTAGCAAATGCATGGTATTTGGAAAATCTCAAGGGGTCAACATAACGTTTTGTGAAGATGGAATTTTATTTCTAGTAAATTTATAAACTAGCTCACAATTTTATAAACTAGTCTATAAGCCTGTAAACAGTAACTTATTCTAGTTTTTGGTTTTGTTTTGTTTTGTTTTTTGGGATGGTATCTCTCTCTACATAGCCCTGGCAGTCCTAGCCTAGAACTCACTACATAGAACAGGCTGTCCTTGAACTTATAGAGACCTGCTTGCCTCTGCCTTCTGAGTGGGATTAAAAGCATGTACTGCTACACCCAGCTAACAGTAACTTTTAAAAAATTATTTGATTTTAAATTATCTGGTCTGATTGAGGAGACTGTGGGGCCCAGGGCAGCTTGGCTACAGGGCTGCCATGACAGGCTCAGTAGAAACCAGCCAGAGAGTAGGCCTGAGTTTTGGTTTACTGGCAGGCAACACCTGCTTCCAGGAAAAGCCATAAACTGGCATCACCCAAGAATGGGCCAATCAGCATTCAGGGTGAAAACACCTAACATTCCAACCATTACAGATATCACCAGATGTCCCTTAGCCAGCACATACCTATCCCCTTTTGCCAAGACACAAATGTCAGCCAATCAGGGGTTCTGAAATTTGGAAATCCCCTCACTCCAACCTCTACTATGATAAAAACCCAACCCCAACCGGGCTTGGAGCTCTCTGATTGTACCTCTGCACTGGACAGGTGTAGGGGCCATGCACAAGCTTGAATAAAGCCTCTTTGCTTTTGCATACGGGTTTGGTCTCCATGGTGATCTTTTAGGGGTCCCATCGATCTGGGCATAATAGGATGTGTAAAAAAGAACTTTCAAGTTGTCACTTTACTGGGAAATCCATAATATTAAGTAGAATTAGTTAGATGAGAAACTTAGCCATTGGTGGAATGCTTACATCTTTATCTCCCAAGTGTTAAGTCTTTTGGAAAAGTTCTAAGTGAGAAATGAACAAAAGTGTACAGGGTAGTAATTGACATATGAATACACAGATGACTTCAATAAAAGCATTTTCAATTGCAGATTTGCCTCACAAGAACAGAAGACTATGATAAATGCACAGTTGCCCGATGGCAACATGGAAAATTTGAGAACTGAAAGAGAGCAACACCTTGAGAAACTTGACGTGACACACCCTGGAGTGTGTCCTTGGGCAGAAACTGAGGAAAAGACTTGGAATGAGGTGAATTAATCTTTGGTAAAATCTCCTATCTCTGACTTTGTTTCATCAGTATAACATATAACACTCTCTGCCTTTCACACACATAGTTGTATTTTGCCTATGGACAGCGATACAACCTGAGAAACGTGGTGTTTGGCAATTTCACTTGTGGAAACACCACAGTCCTGTGCTCACTCACACAAAACCTGTGCTTATATAATCCCTGGGTGCTACCACAGCACTATGTCCCGCAGTCTTGTGGGACCACTGTGTACATGTGGTCCATGGTGGACCGGAACATTCTGTGGCATGTGACATTTATTTAGACTTGAAACAAAATGTCGTCTCATCCTAAAAGGAAATGACTAAGTTTTTGATTTTTGTTTGTTGTAAATCTTGGCATATAGTAGATGTTCAGCATATATTTTTCTGAATAACGGCATGAAAGGTAAGCCAAGGGCAACCCCTAGGATAAATGTCAGTTTAGGCATTTTTTTTATGTTAAAATAAGGCTTACTTAGCTTTGAAATTATGATGATGTTAGTTAAATGTTTTGTAATGTTAATTCCTGGTACTGTCTCTACCTGCATTAAAGAACTTCTTTTGTTCTTTGATAAACTCACCTGTCATTCAAACAATTGGAATCTAAATAATTGTCTTAGGGTTTCTATTGCTGTGAAGAGACACCATGACCATGGTGGGACATGACAGCATGTAGGCAGACATGGTGCTGCAGAAGAAACTGAGAATCCTACATCTTAGAGGCAACAGGAAGTGGTCTGAGACACTGGTTGGTATCTTGAGCATATATGAGAACTCAGAACCTGTCTCCACAGTGACAAACTTTCTCCAATAAGATCAAATCTACTCCCAAAAGGCCACACCTCCTAATATTGCCACTTTCTTTGGGGGCCATTTTCTTTCAAACCACCACATTCTACTCCCTGGCCCCAAGGGCTTGTAGCCATGTCATAATGCAAAAATGCATTCAGTCCAACTTCAAAGTCCCCATAGTCTGTAACAGTCTCAAACCTATTTAATGCAAAGTCTAAAATGCAAAGTCTCTTCTGAGATTCATGCAATCTCTTAACTGTAATCCCTTGTAAAGCTAAAATAAAAACACAGATCATATACTTTCAACATATAATGGCACAGGAGATGCATTATCATTCCAAAACATAGAGAAGAGAGCATAGTGAAGAAATTCTGGACCAAAGCAAGACTGAAAACCTGTTGGGCAAACTCCAAACTCTGCATCCCCATGTCTGAGGTCAAAGCACTCTTCAGATCTTCAATACCCTTCAGCTTTGTTGACTGCAACACACTTCTTTCTCCTGGGCTGCTTCTACTCCCTGTGAGCACCTTTCCTTGGGAGGTATCCCAGGGCTCTAGCATCTCTATCTATCATCTTGGGGTCTCCAAGGCAATCCAGGCTTCAACTTCATAGCTTCATTTAATGGCCTCTCTAGACCTTCATTCAGGGACACCCCTATAGACTGAAGTTTCTGGGTCCTGCCTGGTCCAGCCTAGTCCTGCCCGGGCAGAGCTGTTTTTATAAAATAATCACTCAGAGGCTTAATATTAATTACAAACTGTTTGGTCTATGGCTCAAGCTTATTGCTAGCTAGCTCTAACATCTTAACTTAGCCCATTTCTGCTAATCTATGTATTGCCATGTGTCTCGTGGCTTTACCTGTGTTCTATCACATCTTGCTCCCCTGGCAGCTCAAAGTGTCTCCCCTGACTCTGCCTTTCTTCTCCCTGTATCTTTGCTTGGATTTCCTGCCTGGTGTTCCTTTTTTCCTCAAATATTTTTCCTTGCTCAGCTTGCTCCTTTTCATTATGTCTTCATCAGAGTTAGCACTAGTAACCACGCAACAGAGTATATATACTAGGCTATTTTGAGATTTCTTCTGCTAAGTGAATTAATCCAAAACTCTTCACTTCAGTTTCAGGCAAACTTTTTGGACAAGGTCAAAAAGCAGCCACATTCCTTACCAAAATATCACAAGAATGATCTCTAGGCAATATACTAAAATTCCTCCCTGAAACCTCTTGAGCCAGCCCCTGACAGTTCAAATCCCTCTTAGCACCACTGTCGTTGAGAACAAAGAGCCTTGTGCACACAGATAAGCACTAGGGAAGCCAGGAAAGTTAGACCTCTTCAGAGGAATGGGTGTGGAGTTGCTCTTCTTGGAATGCTGGGAATGATGTCCTGTCACACCCTGGTGAGCCTTTGCTGTCCGAGGAGACAGGCTCTGCCTTATCTCACAGAATTTATGTTTTTCCTTATCCAAGACCTTTCCCCTAAATCTTGAGCACTGCTCTCTTAGGAGAGAGGTCACGTGTGCGTTACAACAGCCTAAGTGACTTCTGTGTCATCTTAGGACCAGGCCAATCCTGACACCCACAGACATTGTGTTTACATCAGTCACACTCCCTAGACCCTGAATCTTGGGCCCTATCTCTGAGTCAACAGTACCCATTCTTGGGAAAGAAGCCAGATGGACTT